ATTGTAATATGCTCACGAAAACAATTTTCCCACAGGCGCTACCCAATGCACCTCCTTTATCTACACCTAGTCTTCCAGGTCAAAATTGTCAATGACTTTCACCCCGACTATTACAGGGTCCTCTTGCGGGACCACATGGGGTTTAGTTGACACCATACGCTTGTTACTAATCGTGACATTCGAGAGAATAAATCTTACATAAAATGTGAATACAAACGCTTAAGGTATTCATTCTGTATTGTCTCCATGCTCGCGAATTTCGGCAACGAATTTGTCGAACAGACCCTGCTTTTGAGAAAACCCGTCCAACTGAAAAAAAATATTCGAAGTACGTTCACGGCAATGAAGGTAAATAATGTAACGCCGCCTCCACAACTAAAGCGCTACTTCCTGCCCTCCATAGTCATATTGTACCACATCACCATATGAGAGCGCAGGGTAGGAATGCCAAGGATACACGAGTCAGTTCTGACCGCACGTTCTCCAGGCATCTTCATTTTTTATAGATGTCCACCATCACTACGTTTGGGGCTGTGCGTTCCTACCCCTCCACAACTGTTTGGTCTCCCGCCCACGGTGCAGAGCGTCACTGCGTCTCTATTTACCGTACGATTTCGCTGCTGAAAATCAGCTGGGCGTCATTTGGGGTGTTTTCGGCGGGTAGTTCTGCTTTCTACTTCATTGGTGAGCTATTTAGCATTGCAAACTTACTCTGTGTCCTGCCATCCGCGTTTGCTTTTGGGCGATGGCCTTTGATCATTGCTCCCGAGCCGCACCCATTTTTTCCGTTCCCATCAGTTTTGATGAGATGGTGAGAAAACGACCTTGCTGCCGCTTAACTGTCTCAGAACCTCCCCTCCAGCACCATTAGCAGCACTCATCCCCTGGTTTATCATTTGATTATTCGTACCATTCAGGTTGAGCCAAAGACCTTAATGCCCTGAGCGGATTGAAATGGAGTCCAAATTTCTGTTAAACATCAATTTCCCGGAGCCTTTTGACGTTACGCTTGACCAATCATAAATAAATGCGACCATAAGGGTATGGGTTATAAAACGGGCAGGAAATAAGGCACAGTTCAGCTTGATGGGGACGCAAGATGATACTCAGACAAAGCCTGTACAGGCCACCACGTGGTCCTGGAAATTCTTGTAACCAAAGTGGCTCCCCTTATTGCATTTCGTGGCTTCAGAAGAGTTCACCCATTAGTTGACATGAACTAGCGGAAAAAAAGTAACGAAACTGCAAAATGCCCCTCCAAGCCGAACAGCGCAGAAAAGGCTTCAGAAGCCAGCCCTAAAGCGCCGCGTTACCATGGGTCAAGTAAACGATATTTTGACTACCTGCTTTGCCACTAGGACAACGTAAAGCCTCAGAACACTCTGAGAAGAGTAAAATCATGAACCCCAACATAAAATTAGGAAGTCGTGAACAAAAAAGAAATCCTAAAGAGTGTAAAAGGGTACTTACTAAGCTCTTTATATCACTTAATGTATCCCATTCCGTCGGAACAGCCTCCAGCGGTGGGGGCGCTTTGCATGACGTCATGAATTCACTCAGATGAAAGTCCAGATCTCCTTCTTGCCCCAGTTCACCATCATATGGTCGTCCAAGCAGCGGTATCTGCACCCAATTCTATGAATAAATAAGCAAAAATCACAGGATAACCAAAACATCTCATCAATGCTACGGCATAGCCAAAAATTTGGAGACCTTAAAACTCAAAGAACTGTCTAAATGGACTAAATCTACCTTAACGAATGAATCATCCTCTGATGCCGCGGCTACTTCATCCGACTCCGGCTCCGCTTCTGGATCAGGTGCAGGTTCTGAGCGTTTTATGGTCGCGACTGATTCTTCTTGTTCTTCAACTTCCATTTCGCCTTTGCGAGAGCCCTCGGTTTGACTGTCACTGTCATGATCAACGAGCGTCCTTTCGCTAATTTCGAGCTCAAAGTTCACCTTTGCTGGTGGTCTTTGTTGATCGTCCACCTCTGCAAAAATAATTCTTACAACTACAATTCAGTAGCCCGATTCATTAATCCAAGAAAGGAACTAAAGTAGCGCACAGAGAAAAAAAAACTCAATTAGCGAGTAATCAGCTAAACGCTCATTTCCTTCTAGCTGTGGTATTTAAGCTAACCTTTCCCATTCAACACCAATGTTTCCTCTACCATTATCATTCAAAATCTGACATTTTCAAACTAAATATGACACTTTTCAAGCCAAATCAAACACTTTTCCGAACCAAAACAAACACTTTCCAAACCAAATTGGACACTTTCCAAATCTAATCAGACACACTCAAGTTTCGAAATCTTATAAGTAAGTCATTTCAATGTCGTTGTCTTCACATCCATTCTTCACGAAACGAATATACCAATAGACACGCATTTGTGCGAACTTTACCAGCACGCTTAGCTCCGCCCCCTCGGCCACGCCCACTTTTGGTTGTTATCACATAGTGATTCTTTTCTTTAAAATTTCCCTTTTTAAGCTGCAGCAGGCAGTCTGCCCACTATGGGCAGCTTCGACCACTTCACGGAACTCATCTTTGAAAGTGGGCGAGGTCTCCCAGTAGTGAGAGGTGCTAGTGATTGACTCGAAGGATGAAGGTTCTGAGAAAGAGATAAAATATGCTAAAAAAACGGCAGAAATGGGCGTGGCCAAAGGGTGTGGGAGCACAGCTTGGGCGCTAATATTATGCATAGACTGCGTGTCATGGGTAATAGTTCATTTTGTGAACAATCTACTGTGAAAAGCAGCCAGCTGAAATAGTCAGGAAATTTTGGATTTGTGTATGCCCCATTCGTTGGAGAACGAGGAAATTTGGAAATTGTGTATGCCCCAATTCGGTTGGAGAAGTTCGTCCATGCTCATCCATGTCTAAAGAAAGTTGTGATTATATAAACTGAGGGAAGAATCAGCAAGTCTCACTCAAATTCTTGCAATCCTCTATCATGCATTACTTCCATCTCAACCTGAGTTTCTTCTTCGCCTTCTGATTCTTTCTTTTCCTCCTCCGCAACAGGAGTAGGAGCACCAAGCAGTCGAGAAAATGAATCAGATCGAGGAGGATCACGCCCGTAACGCCGCCCGTAACGGTCCATAGCAGATTCAGAGACTAGAAATTAATAATTGAAAGACTATGGCAATTAAATAGTTTAATATGGAAGAGTTAGTGATAGTTAATTAACTTAATTATAGTGGGATTGTCATATGATCCGGGCGCAGTTGAGCTGGCTAGACTAAAATCTAATTTATTATTGATACGTATTCGTAATACAGTATAATTCAACTAAACCATGCATAGGCTGAATAGGAGAAAAATATCAAAATAAGGGAAAAACCGCCCATGAGATCGTATCGAACCTACTGACTTGCAGGCTCAGTCACTGGGCCATAGGCACCTCCTCACTGTTTTATTACACTCGCTCGTCGGTTGACAAATCATCGTTCGTTCCAGAACGGTGAATAATTGTCCAATGAATGAACATTTCGCGTACATTCAAGCACATTATCCCACCTTTGAGTGTTTCCCATGATCGCACAGGATCTTTTAATAACACCACAGCTATTATTAACTAGTTATAAGTCGGGAAGTCAAGGGCCCTAGAAACAACATGTAGCACTTCTTTTAGCATTCGAAAAAGACACAATCCGTTGAAACTTTGGGCACACAACTTCGGTGAAGGGGGGGGTGGCAATTTTCAGTTCTGCTTCGCTAGTTCCGGTTTACAAGTCTCACTCTGGTGAGACCTATGAGTTCTTGTGAAGCTGAAGCTAACTCGTCGAAATACCACGGTAAAAAGTATTTGCGTGTTCTTTCACAGCTTTACAAGAGTTGATATCATTTCGTGGCTCTACAGGATTTCACAGACCTCTACTTGGTGGCTCGACGCGTGAATGGGAAATAGCGAAAATTCAAAGAGCACCCGACCCCTCCCCGTCGCCGACCAAACCTTGAATTTGAACGATTATTTGGTATTTTTCTCTGTTTCTGTGCTTCAGAGGAGGTAGTTAGGAGGACAACTTTACTGGCTTTCACTGCTGTTTGAGCATACCCCAAAGTAATTTCTGGTCATTCTTTGTTTAGCTTCTGCTCGGCTTCCGTCTAAGAGCCTCTGCGAAACAGAAGCTAAGCTACCTTTTGGGAAACAGAAACTAAGTATCACTTTCGACCCCCCCCCTCCTCCATCTTTAATATTTCTCATTTCTTCAACTGTTCAACTTTTTCTAGCGCTATTCGGCTTGTAAGGGGCATTTTGCTCTGCTGACTTCCAGTAATCAATCAATGCCTCTTGTGGAGACCTGTAGACTGCTGTAAACCTATGCGATTGCATGGGCTTCGTTCACATTTGACAAGAGTCTATGGTTCTCAGCAATCTGAGACGTATGAGTTACGAGGGAATAAAAAAGGAACTAGCGGAAGTGCAAAATGCCCTCCCAAGCCGAACAGTGCCCAATGTATTTTCATTTTCAACGATTTTTCTTATTGCGCTCATGGTTACCAATAAGGTCGGGTTTGTAGGATCGAGTCTAATTTATATCCTACATGACCACTAGCTGGGTTCATATGTCCATTTATTTCCTTTTTGATCGCCCGAAGATGGAGCAGTACACGAAGGGCGACTAGAAATAGGCGGAGAAAGTCCGGGATGGGCTAAGGGGGGGGGGGCATGGGTCATTAGTACAGATGAAGTAGTTCACGAGCGTTTATTGAGTCTCGATGGAACCTTCAAAGATTCCAACTCTCATCTTGAAACCACGGTGTAATTAGAATACGCTTTTGCATCGTCCAGTTCTTGAGCTTTGAGGGCGTGGTCCGGCTTCGGTGGGGGCCACTTTCGCTCTTCGCTCCCAATAATTGCCGTTGCATTGCTCATCTCACCCGGTGAGGCCTGCAGAGTCTTGTCAAGTGTAAACGAATCATGCTACTGCACAACTTCACAAGAAATCAGAGGTCTTTCTAGCATGGGCAGTGATCGATGGGAACCACTAAAATGTTTCCACCAACCCGAACAGTACCGTAAGCACCAAAAGTCAGAATGTTCCGCTTAGAAAGCCAACTAATCGTTTGATTACAACGAATGTTAGCCGATTTTCTAGGCTACGAAGAAAGAGAAGAGGACGAAAGGTCAAATCGACAGTCTTGGAAGGCTCTATTATGACATACTAGTGACATACCCTGCCGCGCCCGCTCAGCGCCCAGGATATGCGCAAACGAGGTACTGCTGAGAAAGAACACTTGCACTTCAGTTCCACAAGAGCTCAAAGACGGGAAAATGGTAAAAAACATGTAGTGGGACGATTGAGGGAGACACGTAGCAGCTAAAGCGGGCATTCAATGGGCCGGACATGCCATAGGAAAACTTCTAATGGGACTTCGTCCAGGGATTACCTGCACCTAGAACTGAACATCATATGAATTCAGAAATGGATGCCAGGCTGCTTATAAGAATTACAGAGCTACTGAGCTATAGAAAAAGCATTAGAAACTTCGAATAAGAAACAGTGCCCGGAAGGGGAAAAGGTAGCTCGATTTCAGACTAACTAGCCCCGAAAATTCCACAAACAGAGGACGTTGAACCGTAAACAAAGGCCTTCAAAAAATGCAAATAGTTACAGACTCGAAATATACGGACACTCGCAGTGAGGAAAATTGAGCGAGTGCTCTCCACGGCGGACCAGTAAAAATGATTTAGAGCTTAGAATTACAGCAAAGGGCTGCCGATGGAATACTGACAAGGGAGGTCTTTCAGGTTGTGGCGCTTTTCAGAAATGGTTTGTTGCATGTTGTAGGGGTCCATATAAGGATCACAAAAATGGGTTTCGTTTTTGCTATGCATTTCTGGGAAGGTCAAAAAATGGAGTGAAAAGTTTGCTGAGGAAAGCGATTTTGAACCATTTTTCTACTCTTTTCTATCTTTCAAATGGAGTATTAAGTCGATGTGAAAAAGGGCTTTATTTGGCACACAGTGAGGTAGCATTGTAGTTTCTCAAGTGATTCTCGCAGCATCCCAACCCGCAGTAGGGGGGGGGGGGTATTCAGAGCCATGTTGGCGCCAAATGACCTAGGCGCCAATTATAAAGGTCAGAACCGTGATCAGGGCCGTTAATAACCTCTATATACAGACTTTCAGCGAAATTTTTCTCCTCGAGCTGTTCGAGCTATGATGGTCTTGTTGAACTGGTGGCTATCAGTATCCTGTACAAGTAGTTATCCAACTTCGATACCTGGACCTTTCTATTTACTAGTATATACCCTCATAACTAACAACTACAAATTTTAAAAAGGGACATGTATATGTATTGCACAATATCTACCCCTGGAAAGTTAAAGTGGAACCAGTTACGCTGGGTGCGCTGATCGGGTGCCACTGCCAACCAAGTGGTCGGTCCATTATCACCAAAACCTCAGGAAATTTTTTGCTGGTAGTTCGTATACAGGAGTAATTGGTAGCCCCGCTCACGATTCTGACACTTATTTTATGCGCCGAGGCCATTTGACGCCAGCATGGCGCTTAACAGCCCCTGCGTGCGGGTTGACAACGATTTCAGTGCAAGAATGCTCTTGCAGCAAATCGGCGATAGGTTGCGCCGTGGTCAAAAATGAGTGTCGTACTCGTGAGTAGGGCATCCAGTCATCCCCGTAGCCCAACTTTCAGCAAGAGTTTCCTCAGTAATGTTTCGAGAGCGCAATAGTTAAGTAGGGTCGACTCGTGAAGTTTGAGTGTACAGAATGAGCTCTTAAATGGCATATATCCATGTTATATACATCACCACGCACGCAGGAACACAAGGAGACAGAAATCCGAAAAATGCATAAAGTATCCGAAAAATGCAAAAATCCGTCGCCAAGAGGATCCGATCCACATCCTCCTTCTCGATAGCCACCGCACTATCCACCCCGCCATCCGTCGACCACGAAACGATGATTGCGGGAACCGTTGAAGTAACTTTGGTAGCTTTCTTTTCTCTCCATGCACTTTCTTTTGACTTTATTTTGCTCTCTTTTCGATACATAGTGAAGGAACACCTCATAAACTATGCACTCTCAAAGTTACAGCTACAACAGAGCCCAATAAGACGGTTAAAATCGCCCTTTCTTGTCAAATTGTTTTCACTCAGTTTTTGACTCCCCAGAAACGCATAGCAAAAATGAAACCCATTTTTGTGATCCTTGTATGGACCCCTACAACAAGCAACAAACCATTTCCAAAAAGCGCGCCACGACCTGAAAGACTCCTTGTGAGACTATTTTTACAGGAAACTTCAACGTTCCTTCAGAAGATCCCCTAAACCCATAAAGCTTTAACCTCGTGTGCATATACTGAACAAGTAAAAAAAAATAAGAATAGTTAGATTGCTTGCAGGAGCTCAACGCTTTTCTTTGTCATTGTCTCTTCCGCTAACGGAAATAACACGGTGTATGAAACAGTAAGTGAGATTCGCGAACGGTTTGTATTTCTCACGACATGCTGAAAATAAAAATTATTGCGATCATAAAAAAGGTGCCACAATATTTCAGCGAAGTCCAACGTATTAGATTGGACAAATATGTTATGAAAATAAGGAAATCGGTTCAAGTGCCAGTGAGATCGACAGAGGTCAGAAAAGCCGCGAGCGAAAGAAAACTTCAGCTGCGCGAAACTCTCATGGTGTATCTTTTCTTGCAAGGAACTGTACCCAAGATATGTGGGAATCATACGTTCAAATAGTACAACATACTCCTGAAAATACCGTTCCGTCTGCGTCTTCAGCGCTTCACGAGAACACCATGCGTCAACTGGAATGGGAAGACATGGGAGTGAAGATCGACGGTCGGCAACTACACCATCTCCGCTTTGCTGACGACATCGTTTTGATAACACCAAACATCGAGCAACGTGAGCCAATGCTGGCCGATCCCGACTGTGAAAAACGTGTAAAAAAATCGGTTGCAGCTGAATCCAACAAAGACGATGTTCATGAGGAACGGATTGGTTTCTGATGACCCATATCTCTAAAGCTCGGGAAAATGTTGAACGACTTAACTCTAAAGCTGAGCAGGAAGAAGCGAGAGGAGAATATCGAGGGAGTAGCGAAAAAGACCGGCTCCGAGCCCAGCACTTCGATTCAGCGGCTCCTCCTGCCCTGACATATCCCTCAAAGACTTGGATTCTATGCAAGCAGGATGAATATGTAGTCAGCGAAATACACAGTGCCATCGAAAGAGCAGTGTTCGGAGTTTTCCGCAACACAAGTGTGAAATGGAAACCGGAGCTCCGCACTCCGTTGACGATCGAAGATCAGAGACGCCGCCGCATTTGCCAAGGTTTCGAAGATCAGGTGGGCCGGACACGTCATGCGTTTCGAGGACGACCGCTGGACCAGAGCGATCACCGACTGGATTCCACGGGATGTCAAGCGAACGCCTGGACGACCGCCTACGCGATGGTCAGACTTCTTCGTGAAAGCTCTGAACGAATGGTATGAAGTTCATCGTGTCCCTTAGCAGAGAGAACCCATTGGGCAACTCTTGCACGTTGCAGGGACGAATGGAGACGTTACTGGCTCTCGCTCGAGGAACTCGATGATCAACGGGAACATAGGTGATACAGGTGATACTATGGAACTGTTGAGAGACTACCATATCCTGCTAACCGGCACAATATGTATACCCTTTACGAACCCAGTTATCGAAGTTTGAGCCAGTTCTCTATCAAAATTTGTCTGTGGGGTGAAAGTAGCTAAAAAGTTATCTTTGGGGAAGTGTAACCTCCTGAACACGAATACCAGCGCGAGAAAGCATGTAAACGCCCAACGGGTTCCTATGACAAGACAGAGCGGTGGCGTTGGCGGCGTTGGAAGCTTTTGTGCAAAGCAATATTCAGGAGAAATGGTGATAGTGGGATGAAATACCTCAGGGGATCACTGGAGAAGTTAAGATCTGGGAATAAATTTTACGAAAATCTTGTTT